ACGTGAGACAAAGAGTCTTTGTATTATTTTTATTGAAAGAACAGTAGTTAGGCATGTTTAAATATGCTGCAGGTTGTTGCTTGTCCATGATGAAACCGCAGGGCAGAAACTCCAGCTGCAGTGAAACCTTCAAGCAGTTGGTCTGTCTCCATATAAAATAGCGCTGCTGTCAAAATGAAACACACACCTTTTGCAGCACTATTGAGAGAGTTTATCAATTTCTTGAGTTGCTCATTGTTCATCTCTCCTAAAGTCTTTTCAGTCTCCTAAAAACTTTAAAGTGTGCGTTTCTAAACGGTTGGTTGCTCTTTGTAATATCTTGTTTTTAAAGAAAAAATGTTTTCTGCAGAAACATCAGAACTGCCTCCAGTGCCTCCCTGGCTGATTTTGCCCTCGTCATTTTCTCCCCCTCCTCTCAGCATTTACAGGAAAAGGCAGCACTGAAGAGAAACTGGAAACACATTGAGGATGATTTTCTGCTTAGTTTTACAGTATTTTTACAGTTCTCGCCTTATTTCATCTTGTATTACTTTGTTTTCAATCTCTGAGCCTGAATAAAGAAAAGACAAAAGTGTTATTCTTCCAGTCTTATTTTATTTATCTTCCATTCAGAGAATAAATCATAATTTCTACAGTTTTTGTAACAGAGTGAAAGAACATGCATGTTTAAATGAACAGCACAGCTAACGTGTTCAGATTAGTGTTTACAACAGGAAAAAAGATCATCGTTTAACCTTGTAAGTCAAATGTTTACAGAATAACACAGGAAGAGTCGGATCTGGCGGATTGCTCAGCTTGTCTTCTGGCTTCTTGAGCATGCATGGCTTGCAGCTTTTGTTCCTGCTGTTGGAGTTGTGACGTATACCAGGCGTCCAGTCTCTCGCTCTGCTCTCTCAGTTCTTTTTCTCTCTCTCTTTTCATCTGATCCTGCATGGCGTACATCTCTCTTTGTCTCTCATGCCTCTCCCTCTCTCTTTCTTGCGTTCTGCATTGCTCGCCCATCCTTCTCTGCTCGTCCAGCTGCATTCTAGCCATCATCTTCTCTGCTTCTCTTTCCCTATTTCTCTCCATTCTTTCCTTCGCTCTCTCCTGTCTTTCCTTCTCTCTCTCAGCCTCGAAAAGCTGATTGATCTTCTGCATCTCTTTCTGATACTTTAGCTGGATTTCTTTCTCTACTTCTGCTCTCTCTTTGCGTATTTTCTCTTTGTTCTCCTTCAGGATCTGTTGTTTCTTCAGAGCGATTATCCTCTCAGCCTCCTGGAACATCTCGTTGGTGTAGTGACTTCCTCCATTTTTATCAACAATGCTTCTGATCTTCTGGAGCAGCTCCGTGACCTGAGGCTTTTTATTCTCCAGTTTGTTGTTGAAAACATGATACTGGCCGTTGCATCTTCTCACAAGATCCTGCAGCTCTGAGCTTTCAGACAAGAAGTTTTCTATGCTGGTGTCTTCGAGGAGATCTCCATGAGTAAAGAGAACCATGCTGTATTTATCTGCAGTATTCCCGAAGATTTCCTGAATCTTTTCCACGGATTTCTCCTCTTCTGTGAATCTGTTCAGTGCGATGACCAACAGGAAGACGTGGGGGCCAGGAGCGGCAAACGGGACGCACCGGCTAAAATCTTTGATAGTCTTTTCCTCGTCGAACCTGGTGTCCGACAAGCCCGGCGTGTCAATAACGGCGACCTGCTTTCCGTCCAGCTCGCTGTTACATTTGGAGCAGTTGATGGTCAGAGATCTGGGGCTGCACTTTGAATCGAAGCACTTTCGACCCAGAATGGTGTTTCCAGAGGCGCTCTTCCCAGATCCGGTCTTCCCCACCAACACGATCCTCAATTCATTGTTGTTTGTAAAGTTTGTGCCTGAAAAAAAGATATGAAAGACTTAATTTTTATATATTCAGCTGTAGAAAATGAAGCTTAGGAAGATAAAAACACAGTATTAGAACAATTATAGACATAGAAAGAAGAAAATTGATGCCAATTTTCTCAGAAATTTTGAGATTAATCTCAGAAATTTTCAAGAAAAAAATTGTGGAAAGTTTTGAGTCAAAAATTTACTTTTAAAATTCTGGAATTTCCTTGTTTTTACTAGAAAATGTATGAAATAAATCCTAAGATTTCTGAAAATTCTCTAGCTTCTTTTCAGTTAAGACATTTACAAGATTTTTTCTAGAAAATTTCTAAGATTTACTTAAAATTTTTGAGTTTTTTTCAAGAAAGGTTACAACTTTTCCGACTCAGAAATATCCAAGTTTTCTTGAAAATGTTTTTGGATTAACGTCAAATCTTTTTAGTTTTTTTGAGCAAATGTTCGACTTTTCAAACTCAGACATTTTAAGTTTTTTCTAGAAAATTTATGAGAATATCTGACTAAAATTTACTCATTTTTATTTCTCTCTACAATTGCTCTAATACGTCTTTCTCAGCTCCAGTCATCTACAGACTGAAGAATATCGTGAAAACACAAAGACGTATTAATGATAATTCAAGCTGGAAAAGCACAAGGTCAAAATCGGAGCATATCTGAGATGAGAGGTTGATTTGGGCCACCAGGGGGCGTACCTGAGCTTCAAACTAGCATAATAAAAATATGTATTTTAAATGTTACAATAATATTGACTAATAACTAAATGCTATTACACATGGAAACATTTTTTTAAATTGTTTCTATAGTTACATAAATAATGGTGAATCTCTTTCAGCTGCTGCCACTGTTGGAGAAATATAAGATATTAAATCAATTCTTTAACTTGTTTAAATTTCGTGCTTATCAGCTGAGGTAATTTTCAAATAGTCAAAATAAAAATACCACTCTGCATTTCAAAATCCAAATATATTTTTCTTAGTTTGCTACTCCTGTAAAGTTAAAATTAATAACCATAATAACACGACGTAAGCTATAAAACAGATGCTAAAGATAGCAGCTCAGTTATTCATAAAGGAAAACATGCGGTGTTTAAAGTACTATAAGTTGCATTCAGATAATGGATGGATGGACTGCATCCTGACTCACCAGTGGCTGTGTTTGAACTGAAGGGTTGCCTGTCCATGATCAGGTTGGAGGGCGCAGAGCAGAAACTCGAGCTGCAAAGAATGAAATGCTCATGCAGCTCACCCCTCTTTATAGCCCTGCTATCAAAACGAAACTGGAACTCAGCCCAGTTTACATACATACTTTCCCAGTGCCTTTGTGCAAGCTTAAAGCCTCTTTAGTTGGTTGTTGTGTAAGTGTGCATTTTAAATGGTTTCTTGTCCTTGCATGATTTTTAAGCTTACATATATGCAGGTTTTAAATGTGAGATTCTGCACGTATTTTCTTCTAAATAATTTTTGAATGTAGTCTTAGTTTTCATCTGCACTCTCATTGTCTTGGTAAGCTGCTGCTGCCCTCCTCTTTCCAGCATTTCCGAGAAACGGCAGCACTTGATGTAAAACTGAAAACAGTCCATGATTATTGTAAAGCACAATATGGAAAAGGAAAGTGAAAGCAAACCAGCCTAATTAAACTGATTTATATTATTGCTCCAGGCATTTTGTTTTGAAAGTGTAAGCACCCGTTTTATTCCCGTTTCCAGAGATACAGGTTACTTCACTTTACACTGAATTAGTTAATGACTGTTTAGAATGAAAATCACAAGTTATCCATTTAATGTCTTAGTGCTGAGTCGTTTTGAATTGTTGCTTTAATTAAAATGTGAGGAAACAAAATGCCATTTAGAGGTAATGAAGCTCCATATCTAGAGGTACATACTAAGGCTGAAGTAATTAATTTGATAACTGAAATAATAGTCAACTAATTTAGTAAGCTGGAGAATCAAAAGAGGCCATTTTGTTGAAAGAACACAGTTTGAGCAGAAATCGAGCCAAAATTGCACAATAAATAAATGTATTTTGCCTAAGATGTAAAAAAAAAATCCCTTTGTAAATGTGTTATTTTCAAAACTCCTCAAGTGGAATAGTTTTAGCTAAAAACCCCCAACAAAAAACAAGTTAAACAGAAAGAGCTGAACTAAGAAGCTTTGTTAGAAGTATTTTTTAAGCAGATGCATGAAATGTTATTGCATTTCAGGCAATTAAATGTTGACTTTCTAATTTAACAAAATTATTTCCTTATTTGCATCTTTAAATGTATTTCTAATATTGTATGAAAATATTTTATTTCCATACAATATTTGGCACACTGCAGTTTTTTTAAGTGAAAAAGTTCCAGAATGTGCCAAATTATTATTCAATTAATTGTTTAATCGTCAGAATGATCGATTAATCGTCAGAATGATCGATTAATCGTCAGAATGATCGATTAATCGATAACTATAACAGTACAGACACAAAAACAGATCTTTTTCAGCCAATTTAGTTTATTTTCCCTAGTTTACCAGATGACTGCACACATATCTAAAGTTTTCCAACAGAAAATAAAATGTGAAAACAAAGCAAGGAAATTAGAAAATAAATGATCTGCATGTATCAGTCACTCCACTCTTCATTAGCGCATACACACACAGTGTGTGAGATGATGTTTACAATAAATACCCAGAGCTGCTTTACAAAGGATGAGCCAGAGATGATCACAAACTCAGACACAATGAAACAGCTGCTGTTTTATCACAAAGTGCTTCAAACTCAAGTGCAAAAAAACAAAAAAGTTTACATTAGGAGCCCAAAATTTCCCTTAAATAAATGTTAATCTCTCTCTCACACACATTTACACACACGGGTTGATTATTAGAAAAATGTAGAAAGAATAAACTTTGTTAGGTCTATAAATATTCCTTCAGCAGCCGCAGTTAATCAGCGAAACGGGATTAAAAACACAGTTTGTCTCTGCAGCCACACTGATGTGCGAGTGAGAGCCAGCAGGGGGCGCTGCCGTAGCTGCCATGCAAACTTCCTCTATTAAAAAAACCGAGGCAAAATGAGGTAATATAAACTTCTACAGGAAACAGTTCTGTACAGATTCACCTCCGTCACGGCGCCGTCGAGCCAGAAAACGCGTGGTGGCCGGTGAGGTCATCGCTTTTTATTATGTCCTCATTTAAACTCCTGATCTCAGAAACGGTAAGAAGACGAAGGCTCTAGCTAGAAGCGAACAGCAGCTAGTTTACACTGACCTAGAATGCGACCTCGTTAAGACAGGCTGTTGAATCTTTGATTTGTGGAGAATTGGGGCGGAGGCGTCATTTTGACTCTGAGCTTCCTCCGGACTGTGAGTCTCTGTAGCCGTGAGTTGTTGCGTTGTATCCTCCTGAGACGCCTCTGAAGGGTGAGCTTTACGACTGCGCCTCTGGCAGGGTCCGACCAGGCTCACGCGGTACCGACTGGTCCGCCACGAGTCCGTTGGTGCTGCGGCACAGGAGCGTTCTGGCGGCCGTGGCGCTAGCTGCCGATGAGGACGCGTTGCTAGCTGTTATCGTACCGTTGAGGTTCTGGTACTGCCGCTGACGGGGCAGCGAAGCCCGGCGGCGGGAGACCGGCACTGCGGCAGAACCACGCAGGCACACTGAGGGGAAACTCAAACCCACCAAACAGCAACTGGGACAGGAAATGACCTCGTCTCGCTCTGAGGAGCCAGTGAGGTCGGAGGACGGCACCTGGCCTTCGCCGTAGCCGTTAGAGTGCCGTCCTCCCCCCCACTGCACCTGCTGGCCAATCACCAGCTCTGACAGGTTGTTGTTGTCCAGCTTGGGCAGTGCGGGAAAAGATGGCGGCCCGTTGGAGCACGGGAGCCGCCAAGCTTTGGTCCGTAAGTTGGAGCAGGAGGTAGAGGTGAGCAGTGGCTTTAGGGGAGTGGAGTTCAGGATTCTCTTTGCCGGTTCTGGCGACTTGGTGCAGTCCATTGGTTCGGTGAGACAGACGCTCTCCTCGTTGTTTTCCTCCTCTTCCTCCTCGTCCAGACGCCCCAGAGACACCATCTCCAGCTCAAGAGGAAGACCAGAATCCTCTTCGGTAGTATCCAAACTTTGTCCATCCGTCTGTTCCTCTGACACCAACACCCTCTCGTCGCCCTCATTCCCCGCCACCTGGCCGATCCCGTCCTCTTCCTGCTCAGTGTCACAGGGGAACGGTGCGGTCCGGCTGATCTCCGGCGTGCAGGGCAGCGACTGGCACCTCCGCGGTGGAGCTAGCATCCCTGTTGTACCTCGGAGGAGGCGCGGCGAGGCACAGGGGTCGCAGAGTGCTGGCAGGGTGAAGGTCAGGGAGATGACAGACTTGCTGGGCGTGTCCAAGAGTTTACACCGGCCGCCGTTTAGGTCCCTTCGGAGAGAGAAGGGGTTGACCCGCGGCGGCGTGCCCAGGAGAGGAGGCGTCAGGGCCGCTGGGGGCAACATGTCCGACTGGCTCCTGGCCAGGCCCTTTCGCGGTTGACTGTGGTTTCCAAGGTGACAGGGGGAGCTGCGGCGCCGGTATGGACTGACGTTGACCGTTACTGGCTCTGAGCAGCAGGAGGAGAAACAAATGTACAACAGACAGGAGTCAGAATATGCAACAAAGGTAAAGAAATACAAAAAATAATACTACACTGCAAAAACACAAAATCTTACCAAGTACTTTGGTCTAGTTTCTAGTGCAAATATTTTAGTATACTTGAAATAAGAGAAAACAGTTACATATTACCTTTCATCAAGAAATATTAACTTATTTAAAGTAATTAAATTGATGAAAAAACACTAGTTCCATTTTCAGATTATTTCACTTAAAACATTTTTTCCATGTTATACGTGAAATAATCTGTCAATGGAACTAGAATTTTTCAATGAATTTTTGACTTTTACAAGCTCATATGTTGCTCTGAGTTAACTTTGTCTTATTTGAAGTGTACCAAGATATTTGCACCAGAAACTCCATTTAAAACCTTTAAATCCTCCTTATTGTTATTTATTTTACCAAGAGTGATGGGAATCTGTCTGTCTTCTCCTCCCATGGCCTCCAGTGTGAAGACGATATCAGAGAATGAAGGTCGTCTCTCTGCGCTCATCTGAAAATCAGAAAGACAAGAAAAGGTCAACTGACGTTTATTTAAGTTCTGGGGTTCTGTTGGACCTCAGCACAGCATTCATCACCGTTGACCATCACATATTAATAAAGTGGCTGAAGAGCTCTAGTACAATACTTAATTAGTTCGAGTCTTGCCTAAAGAACAAGAACTTGGTTGAGTTAGACAATAGTTACATATGGGGTACCACGAGATCCAATCCTGGGACCCCTGATATTTAATGTCTACATGGTCCTGCTAGCTCAGATTATAACAAGTAATACAATTAGTTACCATTACTATGGTAACTAAGGGTGTCAAAACTTTCTCCAGCTGAACAGAAACAATCAGTTTTGGACCTAAAGAGGAACGATGTAGAGTCTGCACACGGCTTTGGCTGCTGCAGCTAGAAACCAGAGTTCAGGCCTGAAATCTGGTCGTAATGAGTCTGACCTTCAGAAACGCATAAAGACGGTCACAAAGCCAGCCTTCTATCACCTAAAGAACATTTCTAGGATTAAATGATTCTGTGTTCCCACTAAAACCAGGAGCGTTTTACGCTTTTGTCATGTAAAGTGGAGGCAAGGTCTGCTTACGTTACAGCAGGTCACGGCCAGGCTGAAGAACGCGGCTGGACAATCTCCTATCATGTTCTCGAACGCGGGTACGTCCAGACCGAAGTCCTACACAAACCCAGAGAGAGAAGAAGAGAAAGAGAGACAGACCTTCAGCAGGGAACCAGTTACAGCCCATTGGAGGTCTACTCAATGTGTAAGTGAAACCAAAATCTGAAACATAAACTTTAACATTTCATATCTGATAGTCTGACAGAACCAGTTAGTTTGAGGATCAAAATTGCAACATTTGTTACATTTTCAGCTGTTGCTTTTGGCTTTCACACCATACTGAGTGAAAAGAGCCAAACCCTTTGACAAACCTGTTCCTCTTCTTGTTAGATTGACATTTAACTCAACTTTTAATGCAACTTTGCTTTTAGAGTTATGTCAAACTTTGTTCAAACAAACAATTTTAGCTATAAAGCACCCTTCATGTGGAGGCAGCTCGCTGGAAACGCATAATAAAGGGTATTTCTGAACTGGGTTTGAACCATCCAGGGTCACAGTCTGCAGGTGCAAATACCAGAGTTGTGAAGTAAACTGATACTGGTGGATCCTCCCTTTTTCTCCCGTCTTTGTAAGAGGGCTGGTGGATATTAAAAGCGATGTACTTTTCTTCACTTCCCTGGACTAACCAGGGAGTCACCGCTGTGTTCTTTGCTTAATTTTTTTAATAAAATAATAATCAAAATGCATTTTAATTCATTCTTGACAACAACAGTCGTAAACATTTATAAAGACTCCTTCATGTTCCCAACAGATGTTCTTCAGTAGTTCTTGGTGCAGCGCCCCCACAGGCTAGGAGGGGAAAGTGTTTTTTAAAGGGTTTAGTTTGACTCAATTCAGTGTGAAAGTGAACTGCACTAGCTTGAATTGAAACAAATGTATCGTCTGTAAATCTCAGTAGATCATACTTGAGAGCAGATCTAAGGTACCACAACCGGATCAGAACCGACCAGCGGTGACCTACCTC